CTTCTTCTTAATGTGCATTTATGATATTGATAAAGCTCCCAATTAGTTATCAACTTTTCACCGCCAGTCCTTCCTGTCATGGACTCTCATCTATAAACACAACTTTCCCCCCCATAGGTATCTTATATGGAATAACAAGGACATTCTATACAAGCATAAATATATTTTTATTGAGTATTGGTTCCAAAATAACATTACACACGTGGCTCAGTTATTTAACAAAGATGGTCGCCTTTTCTCATATGAGGAGTTTTTACAAAGATTTTCTTTTATTTTGGAAGACTATACTATTCAGCATTAAGGGAAATTGCAAGGTTCAACCAAAGAGATCAGATAAGGTATATGTAATTGACTTGATTATTATTATGGCCAAGTTCTTTAGACATAAAAGTAAATATAGAGGCTCCAAACCAGCATTACTGCTTTTAAGCACAAACTCAAACAAAACATTAACACCATACACTTATCATAAAATAAGAACTCAATCAAAACTCGAGAAGCCTTTGTGCTTTTTAATCTTCTTATTTAGACAGCTGTTTCCCCCTAGTGTTAACTTTTATTTAATATATGTACTTGTTTTGCACAAAACAAGGACATCTGAATTTATTCTGTTGAAAATGTCTGTAAAAAATGGTTGTTAAGAATACCTATAGTGCAATATGATTGCTCTGTAAAGTTCTTTGCAGAAACAAATAAAGTTGTATTGAAGGAAAAATAAATAAATAAATAAAAATTAATTACCGCCACCAACTGGTAAGGACCAAGTTTTATTGTTTTCTGTTAATGTTGTTTTGTGATATGTACACAATGCAGTTTTGTATTGTTGTGTATTGTAAATAATAAAGTTTATAAAAAAAAAAAAAAGGAATAAGTGACCTCCGACCAGCAGGGGGCGGAAGATTTGATCGGTAATCAGCAGCTGAGCAAACCATAGATATCTATGGAGCAAACAGTCCTTGAGTGAACCTTAGGCTGCATATTGTTGTTCTGGTAATCGTTATTATTAGTGTTTGCATCAACCGCTGTAAGCTAGAATAAGGCCGAAGGAATGAATGTTTAGGTGCTGTCCCTTTCAGGTATGAGTTTATAATCTGTTTAAACTTCAAAAGATAAACAGTGTGAGGTGGACATTGGAGATGAGCTGGATGTTTGGGGACATGATTTCAATCAGGATGGACTGATCTCTGCTCAGAACCCAGGTTGTTTTTAAACATCCACATCGACTTTAGAGCCAGCGGAATGGAAAGTCAGTTGAGGTCATCCAGATTGTTCTGTAAAGTTGTTTGTG